GCGGACAGCCTACTCCATGCGCCGAAATCTTGAAACCAATGCATCGCGGTGTCGGCACAGAGACCACGCGACCCGAAGCCTGGCCGCTCGGGCCAAAGAAACCCACACTGCTCACCTGCCCGACGTCGGGGACCTCCTTCGCACCCGTGTAGCTGCCGAGCTGCGCCCAACCAGTCGAGGAGGCAAGCACCTGCACAGAGGTCGCCGTAATCGTAGTGTACTAGCCACTGCGAAGGGAAGAAGAGATCACACACCAACATACCCCACTCCGAGACCACCAGCGCATTGTCCGTCTGTCGATGGTTAAAGACACTCTGTGCGTGGCCGCTTGACCTTGGCATTAAGCAATGCTTCCAGGATAGTCCGCTTGTCACCCTTGTGCTTGTCCTAGAACTGCTCTGCGGCCTCCTGGCTCTCGAAAGCGTCGTCGAACTTCGCGTCCATTGGCGCTGGGCGGCGAACGCGTTCGTCGCCTCCTGCAAGGGCGGCGCCCTCTCCATCATCATCAGGCCGATCAGCTTCAGCGCGAACTGTGGCCTTCGCATGAGTCCTGCACAACGTCGCGAACTCCTTGAATTCGTCCGTCTCGAACATCTGCTGGACGCCCTCGCGCCCTCGCAGCATCCCCTGCGGCGCCCCGAAGCCATCCGCCCCAGCATCATAATCCAATGGCAGCGACGCCACCAATTGCTTCTGGAGCGCCGCGCACTCGGCCTCGGCCGGCAACCTCTTGGCGTCGGCCTCCGCCCTGTCCTTCTGCAGCTCCTCCATATTGTTGCCGAAGTCGGCCAGCTTTTGCATGACTTCCTCAAACTTCGCCTTGGCCCTGTTGCGTCGGTGCCCGACATTATTGCGCTGCGTGAGACCCGACTTCCTTGCCTCGATCTTGCTCCGCACCTCGCGCAGCTGCTGCTCCAGCAACTGCTTCGCGGGCGCCATGGACTCGCCCTTGCACGCATGGATGGTCGCCTGCAGCTGGGTGGCTTCCGTGCGCAGGGCCGCCTCTCCATCATCATCAGGGGGCGAGGTGGGAGGAACTCCGCCCCCCTACGCCTGCGCGGCGCGCTTCTTGGCCATATCAGGGAGCTGCTTGTCGATGCGCGGCTCGCGCGCGAAGCCAGCAGCAGGCAGGCGCTGGGGACCGCCACCAGCATCCCTAGCTCCAGCACCTTTCTCTGCGAACCTGCCGCTTGCGCGCGACGGAGGACTGCAGCTGGCGCCTTGGCCCCGCATCTGCATCGCACGCGGCGCGCGCAATTCGACGTGCGTCCGCACCCCTGGCAGCCCCAGAAAGGCTGCCCAGGGCCTCGAACCACGTCGCCATCCATGGATGCCTCTCGCAGAGGTCGAACACTGCGGGGTTGTGAGATACCCCAAAACTGCACTGCGGGGTTTGAGCAACCCCAGAACTGACAGCCAAATTGGCACGCGACAACGACTGCCACTCTGAAGACAGCTGTCGCAAACCCAGAAACACGCCTGAGCCAGAACGGCTCGGAGAACACGAGAAACCGAACCAGGGCCCGAGAAAACGGGACCACGATCCAGGGGCCGAGAAAACAGAAAACGAGCCAGGGTCAGAGAAAACGAGACCACGACCCAGGGGCCAAGAAAACGAGAAAACGATAAAAGGAATCAGGGCCCGAGAAAACGAGACTACGAACCAGGGTCGAGAAAACAAGGAAACGAAACAACGAACCGGAACTGAGAAAACGAGACCACGACCCAGGAGCCGAGGAAATGAGAAAACACGAAAACGACCCACGACCCAGGGGCAAAGATTACCAGAAAACGCTTGGTTCGAGAAAACGAGACCACGACCCAGAGGAGACGAGAAACCGAAGAAACGAGAAAACGAAACAGTGTTAGAGAAAACGAGACCACCACCCGGGGGCCGAGACAACGAGAAAACGGGAATACTAACCAGCGCTCGAGAAAAGAAAACCACAACCAAGGGGCCGAAAAAAACGAGAAAACGAAGCAGGGTCAGAGAAAACTTGACCACGACCCAGGCGCCGAGAAGAGAAAAACGAGAACGCGAACTAGGATCAAAGAAAACGAGACCGCGACCCAGGAGCCGAAAACACGCGAAAACAAGAAAACGAACCAGGGGCCGAGAAAATGAGAAAACGATAAAAGGAATCAGGGCCCAAGCTAACGAGACTACGAACAAGGGGCCGAGAAAACAAGAAAGAAAGAAAACAAACCAGGGGTCGACGTTGTTTCTCCAATTTCGTTGTCTAGCGCTGCGGTGCGCACCTGTTGTCAAGTATTCAACCATTTTGCCACAGTCCCGGAAGGGAGGGGGGGAGAGGTAGTTTCGGAAGCCCCCCCCTCCTTTGCACAGGAGGGGGGGGTAGCTTGAAGCCGCCCCCCCCATGTGTCCAGACCCCCCCCCAAAAAAAAAGGAGGGGAGGGGGTAGTTTCCGAAGCCCCCCCCCTCCTTGAAAGGGAAGCCTGGGCTCACCTTCGGCTCCGGAAAAGGGAAGGAGGGGGGGGATAGCTTCGAAGCCCCCCCCCCCTTTAGCCAGGGCCCCCCCAGCTCAGAAACCCTTTAAAAGGGAGGGGGGGTAGCTTCGGAAGCCTCCCCCCCCTTTTCGAAGGAAGGGGGGCAGAGGTAGCTTGAAGCTGGGTCCCCCCTTTTAGTATAGAGTTCCGTGCGGGCGCGCTCTTACGAAACTCTGATTTGGATCTGGCCTGAAACTCTGGCTCATCTCTCTGGTTTAGCTGACGCTCTGAAGTAGCTCTGGTCTAGAACTCTGATTAAACTCTGATTTAGCTCTGGTTGGGGACAGAGCCGAATCAGAGTTAAATCGGAGTTCGGACCAAGGTTAAATCAGAGTTTCGAGAACAGCGAACATGAAACAGAGTTCCGGGCCAGAGTTGAATCAGAGATAGATCAGAGTATTATTAGAGTTTGTTGAATTTAATGTTTGAGGCTAGTTTGCCTCCAGACACACACACATACTCAACTCTCCAGGTTGACTATACTTTTGGGGGAAACAATGGATACCGATACCGCTACTCCCCAGACCTCTCCCCGAGTGCGTTCTGACTACAGTTTCGGCGGTGGCGACGCGGGCCTCCCAGGAGGCCCCAAGCGGCGAGAACGAGAGAAGGGTAGCATGGTAGGCACCGTTCCTAAACACTTCTGGGGGGATGTGGGCTGCTTGGCTTTCTGTTTGCAAGGCGGGGGGTTGGGGCTGTTTCTGCGATCCGCCACCGTGCACGGGGGTGGCGTTCCGGCTCCGGTTCCGGCTCCGGTTCCAATCCTGGAGCCGTTTTTTGCCGTTTCCGGTCGCCGTTTTTTCGCCGTTTCCATTTTCAAGGGACATTTTTTTGGGAAACGGTGAAAAAACGGCCCTGCCGTTTCCGGGGCCCACAAAGGGTGGCGTGTCTTCAGGTCCTCTTCTTAATCTCGGGGGCGCGCAAACATGGACCAACGATCCATGGACCTGGCGCGCGGTCCCCCTAACAATGCGACCAGTGCCGCAGCGTCCTGCGGCGGAAATCCGCGATCCCCCATGGAAGCGGGACCCGTCACTAATCCACGACCCCTCCTCCTCCCCCTCCTCCTCCCCCTCCTCCTCCTCCTCTCCCCCTCCCCCTCCCTCTCCTCCCCCTCCCCCTCCCCCCCCTCCTCCTCCTCCCCTCCTCCTCCTCCTCCTCCTCCTCCTCCTCCTCCCTCCTCCCTCCCCCTCCTCCTCCTCTCCTCCCCCTCCTCCTCCTCCTCCTCCTCCTCCTCCCTCCTCTCCTCCTCTCCTCCTCCTCCCCTCTCCTCCCCTCCTCCCCCCTCTCCTCCTCCTCCCTCTCCTCCTCCCTCCTCCTCCTCATGTCTCCTCGCTCCTCCTCCTCTCCGTCAATCCGCCCTCATGGGGAGTCCTCCGAAGGCCAGGACTCCAGAATTCTCCAGAAGCTTGGCGGGGCTCCCGGGCGTGCCCCGTGGGGCCCCCCGCGTGCCCTCGGAGCTCCAGGAAGCATTCTCGCATGGCTCTGCCAAGGCCCATGGGGGGCCCCGAGACGCCCAAGGATCGGCCCAAGGCGCCCAAGACGACCTCAAGATGGCCCAGGATGCCTCCAATACGCCCCAAGTGGCATCTCTCAAGAGAGCATCTAGAGGCAAGAACCATTGATTTCCCTGTGGAACTTGATCGATGTGGCGTTCTCGCCTTTTTGATTTTCCAGCGCTCGAAGACGTCCCAAGAGGCCCTCAAGACCACCCCAAAACCGCCCAAGAAGCCTCCAAGAAGGCCCGAAGGCGGCCTGAGAGCGTCCCAAGACGGCCCAAGAGGCGTCCAAGACAGCCCAAAAAGGATCCAAGACGCCCCCCCAGGGCCCCAAGGGCAGGGAACACGAACCAAAAATCTCAGCTTTCCGCCCCAAGAAGCCCCCAGGAAACCCCGAGAGTCGTCCAGGATACCCCAAGAGGCCTCTAAGGACTCCTAAAAAGCCCCCAAGAGGCCCAAAGGAGGCCCCAAGAGGCCCCAGGAAGCCCCCAAACGGCCTCCAAGAAGCCTCCAAACTGCCTTCAAGAGGTCTCCCACGACATCCAATAGGCTTCATACCAACAACCCCGGCACGGTGGCCGGATGGGCCGAACGCTAATGGCTATTGTCGGGACGTCTCGAGGGATCCCAGGAAGTCTCGGAAGGCATCCAGAGACTTAAATGGGGGCCAAAATAAACTGACCTCAATCCTTTAGTGAGGGGGGAGGGAGGAAGGAGGGGGCGGAGGAGGAGAAGGAGAAGAAGGAGAGGGGTGAACGTTCTCCCTCTTCCGCCCACCTCTCCTTGACCGTGCACGGTGTGTGTGTGTGTGTGTGTGTGTGTGTGTGTGTGTGTGTACTGTCTTCGCCTTTCTCTGTTTCCAGTCAGTATGGGCTTCGAGATTAGTAGCCCTTAGGTTAGCGAGCGACCTAGGAGGACGAGGTGGCGGATGGGAGGGAGGATGAGGCAGAGGAGGTGGGGAGCGGTGGTAGACGTGGCGGAGTGGGGAGAGCCAGGCGGAGGATAAGGGGGAACATGTGGAGGTGGACGAGGTGGAGGCGGTGGAGGAGGACGTGCAAGAAGAGACGGGCAAGCCCCGTCCCAAATCGGACTGCCTGGCAATCACAACCAGACCGGGCCGTCTGCGGATCCCCCGCGACGTATGCTGGCGGCGTGCCACGGGGTGTTGGGGCGGGGGATGCCAGGTCTCCAAACGTCCCCCGATGCTCTGCGCTGCAGCGCCGCCGCCTTCCCGCAAAAGCGGCCCGGCGCGGCCATCAGAGGCGTGTTTTCCTCCGGCCTGGGCCAGGGGCTGCGGCTCGCAGGCCGGTGGGGCTTCAGTGAATGCAGCGTCCCTATGGTAGCTCTACCACCCACTTGCGCGTGATTCCTTGAGCCCGCTGCCCCATCAGCAACCAAGGGGCCCCGAACTCGCTGGGAGAGCACCTAAGTGAAGAGGCCCAACACGTTAGGGCGTGGGTGTCTTTTCAGCAGGTGCATAGAAAATCACCCACATCGAGTATACCGAATGCGAGATCTGGAACCTAAATTTGGCGACGTCGTCATTGAGTTATTACGGTTGCCCATCGGTCGGAAGAAGCAGGTAGAAACATAGTAGATTGGGCTCCCTCCGCCCCCTGAGGAGGACGGAATAGGTGAAGCCACTCGATCACTGAAGTAGAAAGACGCTTAACATAGATTGGAACCTTGACATCCAACATACTGTTCAACGGCCGATGGGTAAGGTCTCCTTCTATTCTCGATGGCCGGAACTCCCGATGCCTTCCCTGCGGGCAGCTTGGCGTCCCGGGCCTACCTTTTGATGGTCCTGGGGTCCGATAGAGGACGCCGAAGCCGATCGGCCCGAGCATCGAAACGGCAGACATAGGCAACCATTGGCCGACTTCCCGAATCGGCAGAAGTCGGCAGCGCCGAGTCGGATCGAATCGGAGACTGGATCGCGTCAAGCCAGATCGGAATCGAAATCGGCGGGGATTTCTCCGGGCGGGATGCTCGACACTCGGAGGATGTTGATCTGGTTCGTTCCTCCTGGGCCTCCAAGAAGCGTCCCGCCGTGGCAGTGGCTGGACACCATCCCAGAAGCCACACCAGAGTGGATCCTGGGGGTGAGCTGAGGACGGGTTCTGACGGGGCGGCTGGGGGCCTTGAAATTGGCACCAGCACCAACACAGGGTGGGGGCTCCACTGAAGGAAGATGGTCCTCCACCGCCTCCACTGGATCTGGGTGCTGGGGTGAACCTCTCGGACACCTAAGATGCCCGAGTATCACCACCGTCACCTCGATCAGGACAATCTAAGGGAAACCAACTCTGTACACAAAACCGACGCTTGTTTTCCGGCCCTGTACTGAAATCTGCAGCCAAGAAAGCGGATCCTTGTGTGTAAGGAACACTGGTGTATACATTGTCGATGTTTCCCCAGGACAACGGGGAAGGAAGTATACACCACACCATCCCGATGTCGTCCCCAACCCTCAACAAGTCCTGGGATCAAAAAACAGTCCGCCATTGACAATGTATCTGTCCCAGTTTCCGAACATGTTCCTTCAGTGGAGGCAACCGCCGAGACAGGTGTGGGTACCAAACTGCAGGACGCCGAAGCGGCTCAAGAAGGGAAGGGGGATTTCTCGCAAGAGATTGGCGCCTTCTGAGTGGGCCGCCCACATCGCCCAACCCCCTACGGCGCGCCGCCGAGGATAGGAGGACCCATGCGAACCCTGCTCCACCACCCCACGATTGCTAAGGGGGGTGGTGGTGTAGGGTTCGCATGGGGCCTCCTGCAGAATGGTGTCGAAGAACGAGATGATCTGACCCGTGGTGGAGATGCTGTCTGTCTGCGGCCCGTAGGACGCCAAATCGGAACTGAACGCGCACTCGCTGGCACTGTACCCCTCCCAAGTGCAGACCGCAACGACGTCGTAGACGTCCCCGTACCACCGATGCCCGGCATCCGACACACAGTACGTCACGTTGGTGCAGCCCGTCCAGGAATAGCACTCCGTGGCGTTGCCAGCAGTGCCGTTCCTGAAAGTCAAGACTTTGCTGTCCTCGCTGCAACCGTACGCCCTCCGGAAGTACTCGTAGACATAGCTCATGGGACTGTACGTCTCGAAGTACCCAGAGGAATTCGTCGGGACGAACACCTAGGCATCTGAGGTCACGCGATCTGTTCGCGACATGGGCCCCCCGACCCCTGGACTCTTCCCAGGGGCCGACTTTCATCCTGGGTAGTTTGTCACGGCCGGCGAACACAAAACGGGCCTCTTCAGGAGGATCTGTAAGAAAACGCTTGCCCTCCATTGGTTTCCACACGACAGATTTGGAGCTGGCATGCAAGAGGTGGGTCCTAGACGGCCCGGTCCATCCCGAGCGTTTCTTCGACAACCTCATGGCCTAGGCAATACCTTGGAGGGATCTGAGACGGCGAACAACCTCCAGGACTCCTTTCCTTCAGGGCGACTGAAGGGGTCAGCAGAGAGGCGAGGAGGTGGAGATCGACTCCACATGGCTCCCAAATCCAAGCCAGCCCGATCAACGAACTTAGATCGGCGCGGGGCTCATTAAGATGATGGGGCCACCAGCAGATGTCAAGGTGGGCTGTATCTGGTCGAATCGAGCTTCATGTAGGCAAATGCAACCCACGTATTACGCTAGGTATGGCCACATGCAATCACCTTGGTATCCACTGATACCCCCCCTATCCCTGCACCCCCCCCCCCCGCCGGTCCAAGCACGGGTCACCAGAGGGGGGGAGGAGGGTGGAGTCGCGTCCGCATGGCTTCCAAACCCGGGCCAGCCCGACAAACTGATATCGCTGCTCGTCGATATTCTGGCAATCGTACTTGCATGGCATGTCCCCTCCCCCGCCGCGTTCTCTAGCAACGATGGGCCGAAAAGGCGTCCAACTGAGTCCCACCTTCCGTGAAGTCCGGGAGTTCCTTTCGGGCCTCACTTCGCCACGCAAGTAAACTCGCCAGATTCTAAACAACATCTGCCATACAGGAGGCCAGTCCACAAGAGACCTTTCACAGGGAACCTAGCACTGAGACCCCAGGACGTCCATTGATTTTTGGTGGGTACGTCACGCCTTCCATCGCAAAACCATCGAAACCTAAGAGGCAAGCAGGGTGTATCTTGGTGTGGGCCTCCACTGCACATGGTTTGAGGGGGCCACCTTCCTTCGGGGGAAAGAGGAGGGAGGAAAAGGAGGAGGAAGAAGAAGGAGGAGAGGAGGAGGAAGAAGAGGAAGAGGAGGAGGAGGAGGAGGAGGAGGAGGAAGAGCTTCTTGGCATGGGCCTCCACTGGAAGTGGCTGCACGTGCCCTCTGGCCCCCGCCGCCTGAACGCCCCGATCCCCCAGACCCCGCCCCTACGACCCAGCAGGAGTCTCGCTCCTGGGGATCGTCGTGCTGCTGACGGCCCGAGAGGAGGAGGAGGAGGAGGAGGAGGAGGAGGAGGAGGAGGAGGACGAGGAGGAGGAGGAGGAGGGGGAGGAGAACCTGGACGAAGGTCAAAAACTGCGTCCCTCGGATAAGCGCGGGGGCTGCCAAGCTGAAGGGGATAGCGGGGGATATCAGTGGATGCCAAGGCGTCTATCGGGGGGGGCAACGATCCATGCCAAGTGGGCAGAGCCCGCTTGGCGAAGTCACCTACCCCATGAGCCACTGCTGGGCACTTGTAATCCACCCACTTAACTATAGGCTGGGGTAGGCCCGATGTAACCGACCCTGACATCCACCTACACCCCCCCAATCCCCTTCGTGACCCCGGCGCCCGATCTAGACACGAGAGGCGGGGAGAGGCAATTGTTCTTAACTCCCGGAAAGTTACTTGCACGTAGGAGGGCGGGGGGTAACGTAGCGAGGCCCAAAAGTAGATCTGGTCACCACACAGTCCGTGACTCCATTGCTGTCCTGTTGGGCCAAGCGCTGCACGAGAAGGCGGCGAAGTCTGGGGGGGAATGCCGAAATGCAAATGAAGTTGGTAGAATCTGAGTCGGCACAAAAACACGCACGAAAGATAAACATTGTCATGACGGATTCCATATTCTGGCAGACTCGCTTGCAAGTTGCTTGGGGGCGTCCCTGGCGAACTCCTAAAGAGGAAAGCTGACAACAGCGCAAGCGGAGAGCCGCTTGCACGCTGGGGCACCATTGGAGGGGGGGACTACATATCACACCAATCAACACGCCAACATCGAAATTAGGATGATAATAGTATCATGGTGCAGTTGCCTCAGGATGCGGTCCAATAGTTCTGGAGAATATGGCGGTCCTTGTTTCTGCGGTCCGTGCGGCACATCAGGGAATCTAGGAAACCATGACAGCATTGCGAAAGTTTGAACGTGTCAGTATCATGACTCCTTGGTCCCTCGGACAATCGAAAAAATAGTTCAAATGTTGCGAGCGCCCTGGCCTGGAACAGTAAAGCAAAGTCAAGAACAACTTTGGGAGGTCAGCACCGATGTCTGGGATCTGCGCTGAACCCTTGGCATTGGAGGCACAGGGGGGGGGGGGGCCAACGCCGATCCAAGAGATCCGAGAGGACCTCCGAACAGATGTGCATTCGTGCCGTCCTTCCCCGAAGCGAAGGCGACGAGCGGGGAGTTGGGGGGGAATGTCGGGAAAGAGGGAGGTCTGGTGGCTTGCGGGTCAAAATCGGGCCCGCGGCCTTTCGGGACGTTCCTGGCACCCCAGGAAAGCTCTCGGTGAGGCGCAGTTGCTGAAACATATCCCGAGGCAGGAAAACCTCCAGGAACCTACGAAAACATCCGCAGACGCTGCCCTCATGAGCATCGTTCAACCGATCCCTATTCCCACGGGCGTGGCCTGGGCCCCACTGGCCGATTGATCCCCCTAGATGGGGATAGAAGGTGTTCCCTTCGAGTTTCAAGGGGCATATCCCCAACTAGGGTGGTGGGATGGCGGGGATCTGGACGGGGATGGAGAGGGGGAGAGGGATCGGAATTCGGTGACACGATGCTGCCCTCAGAGGCCAGAATTGTTGTCTGCAAGCTCTTGCTTCTGTCGTCGCGTGCGCCCTGGCCTGGTCGGGGATCTTCTGACCCGGGTCAATCCAGACCCGGGTCAATCAGGTCCTGCAGAATCCTGCAAGATCCTGCGGGATCCTGCAACCAAACCCGGGTCAATGCGAATGATCCTGCAGGATCCTGCAGGATCCTCCACCCAAACCCGGGTCAATGCGACACTGGCCCTGCAGGATCCTGCAAGATCTGGCGCTCTGGCTGACCCCCGTTTGCATTGAGCCCTGTCTCTAGGCTCCCGACCTGGCCGCTGACGTTGCACGCCGGGTCGAGCCTCCCAAAGAAGAGGGCGACGGGCAGCTGCCGGGCGCGCACCGCCGCGCAGGAGTAGACCTGCACCGGGAGCGGAGCTGGCGCAGGGGCGCCCTGGGCCACACGCGGCGAGCAGCCTGGAACAGATCCCCGTCCCCATCAGCATGACAGTGTGCCCAGAGAAGGAGGACGAGGAGGAGGAGGAGGGGGAGGAGGAGGAGGAAGAGGAGGGGGTGGAGGAAGAGGAGGAGGAGGAGGAGGAGGAGGAGGAGGAGGAGGAAGAGGAGGGGGTGGAGGAAGGGGAGGAGGAGGAGGAAGAGAAGGAAGTGGAGGAGGAGGAGGAGGAGGAGGAGGAGGAGGAGGGGAAGAGGGAGAGGAGGGGCGAGGAGGAGCGAGGAGGAGGAGGAGGAGGAGGAGGAGGATGAGGAGGAGGAGGGGCGAGGAGGGGCGAGGAGGAGGAGGAGGAGGAGGGTGTCCATGGCACCGAGGCGCTTCAAACTGTTCCAACCCTTCAGGGGCTTGGGACCCTCCCTCCATATTTTCTTTGGATTCCGGCAAAAACTTCCTTGCATGGAGAGGTTCGTGTGATGAGGTCCGAAATAAAATTCGAAGTTCACGCAAGTCGGAACTCATCTGCACGCCTTTTCGGCCCGGCGTTGCAGAGAGGTGTGGGAGGTCTTCGTAAGAACACCAATTCAGAACAACTATGAAGCCATGTTGGGCCGAATTGAGCCCGGAACTACGCCCGATTTGGCGGGATTGAGACAGATCAGGCCGGACGATGCTGGATTCGTAGGCAAGTCTTCGACCACGGCCACGGCAGTGCCGATGCTGAATTAAACCTCCCAGGAGTTGCATCCTGAGGGAAGGTCGAGAGTCCCCTATCAGATGTGCGCGCCCAGCCAGCAGTTCGCGAGACTGCCCTCACGTCAGGAACGCTCGCATGAGGCATTCTGTCAAAACGACCATGATGCGTACGAAACATATTAACAAGTTGCCCAACAACCGAGCCTTCTCGAAATTAGCAAGAAAAACATGCATATCGATGACACAGGGTTGGGTTGTTGATGGGGAGGGTCTGTATGTAGAACAAGTACATGGCGGCCGAAACCCCTGTCAGCAGATTCTGCCACCTGCAGATTGCAGCTCTGAGCTTGTAGTCGTCAACAGACACCACACAACACCTACATTTCGAACGCATTTTCAAGGAACGTAGCGTAGTTGTCCTAGCCCTGATGGGGCAATCGGGCATTGCACAACAATGGTATTGTATAGCAATGTGTGTCAGAGCATTGACACAATGTATATCTCTTTGTCATGGTGCGAGCCATCAAGCATTGCCCAACGTAAAGGCACCAATATCGGCCGTAGAATGAAACACCAGCGACGCCCTGAATGGCATCATGGATGGTTCCTCCGACTGTGTGGCGGCACCCTTTTCAGGTCGAAGGGCCCCAGTGGAGGGGCAACAACGAGGGATGATGGGGGAGGGAGGGGAGGCGTCTGACAAACGTCCTGGCCCGTTCGAAGCCCTCCTGGGCTGTTTGGGAAGCTCCTGGTGCGACGAGGAGGACACAGTCGAGGAGGAAGCTGGAAATGAGATTGAGGAGAAGGAAGGAGGAGGAAGCCGATGATCCGACGTCGCGACGGCATCGCTGCTTACCCGCGCACTCGCGCTCGCCAGCCGTCGGCTGGGCTTCAGGGTGGGCCCAAAGACGCACCCGAGGGGGCCCCAGCAGGGTCCCAGGAGGGCACACTGGGGGACACGTGGCCGCGTCTCCTCGTGTCGATTATATATTTCTGGGGCGCTCTTGGAGTCCACGTGGAGCCACCGTGGAGCCCTTGGGAGCCCTCTGAAATCCCTCCCTTCTCGGCCTCTCGCCCTTCCTCCTCATCTTCTCTCGTCTCCTCTGGGCCGCACGGTGCTGCGCTGTGCCATTCGTGTTCGAGGCAGTCCACAAATGGTGGTGCCATGTGCGGACTCAAGGCCCCCACCGGGCCCCACCCCCGCGACTAGGCACCGAGGTCGGGGCACCATCGGGTTGTCGAGCAGCGGCCGTGTGCTGTGACCGAATCCGCAGATTGTACATTCAAGTGCGGGCAGCGTTTCTGCTGGTGGCCGTCCGCAGTTTGTACTGTGCGGACAGGTGTCCCTGGGGTCAGCAGATCGTATTTTCAAGTGCGGACAGATTGCCTGGGCCTGTGCGCACAGTCTTTGGATACAGGGGGCGCGCCCAGAGGACAATCTGCGGACATGCAAGATGTCCGCAAATGGTCTCGTTGTCGTGGGGTGCACGCGCGCAGAATCCACAGATCGGGGGTGGGGCCCGCGTGTTCCCCGCGCCGAGTCCACACAACGACGGAGGGAGTCTTGTTACTGGATAGCCCCTTTCGGCATTCTTAGCCCACCCTCCAGCCCAGGCCACCTGGGAGGCCCGAAGGTCTCCAAGAGGTCAAGGCCATCTCTCAGCCTAGAACTGTAAGGAGGTCCCAAGCAACACGGGCCAAAACCACCTCGGGTCAGAGCATATCTGAGCCTGGGGACTAGAGATGCGAAGGTCTCAGGCGAAACGGGCTGGGCCACTTCGGGTCAAGGCATAGCGGGGTCCAGAAATGCGAGGATACTTGAGGCGAGACGGGCCGACCACTTCGCGAGTGACACCACCTGCTACTGCTGAGCCTCATCCACCTACTGATCCTCCTCATCCCCCTTCTTGTCCTCACGACTCACAAGGAGAAGGAGGGGATGAAGAGGGTGAGGGTTCGACGGGGCCGTGCTATGGACGTTGCTGGTAAACTGAACATCGGAATCGACGAAATTGCTGCCCATGCGTAAATTTGATGAGGTTTTGTGCCAAACACAGAGAGCGTTTTTTTATTTTCGGCGATGACGGGTGTCGTGTGGGGGGGGGAGGCGGGGGCTTGTGTGGGCCCCGGAAACGGCAGGGCCGCTTTTTCACCGCTTCCCCCAAAAAGTCCCTTGGAAAAAGAAAACGGCCAAAAAACGGCGACCAAGAACGGCAAAAAAACGGCTCCAGGATTGAAACTGGAGCCAGAACCAAACAAAAAACGGCGACGGAACCGGTAAAAAAACGGCGTCGGAACCGGCAAAAAACTGCAAAACGGAACTGGTAAAAAAAGGCCCTGCAAAACGGAACTGGTAAAAAAAGGCCCTGCAACGCCCCCCTCTCCGCCGTGTGGTTCCGACACTACGGCCGCGCCCGCGCGCGCGACGATGATGGGCGACGAGCGACGACCGACGAGCGACGAGCGACGACGACGACGCGAGCAGCATGTAGGTGGCGATCTGCCCCACTGTACACCACAATGCTCGCGTGTACCACAGCGCCAGTGTACACCACAGCGCCTGCGCACACCGGAACGGTCGCGTGCAGCACAGCGCCTGTGTACACCACAATGCTCGCGTGCACCGCAGCGCCTCTGCACACCACGCCGCCTGTCTACACCACAGCATCCGCGTGCAACGCAGCGCTGGTGTACACCACAGCGCGTTCGTGCACAGGACAACTAGAAGGAGCATGTATGTGAGGATTTGCTGCGGACAGCTCAGCGCCACGCCAAGGAATTGCTGATCATAGAATGCGACGTCCTTCCCTCCTCCATCCTCCCACCTCCTCCTCCTCCTCGTCCTCCTACTCCTCGTCCTCCTCCTCCTCCACCTTCTCCTCCTTCTCCTCCTCCTCCTTCTCCTCGTCCTCCTTGTCCTCCTCGTCCTCCCTCACTTTCCTCCCCCCTGTCGTGCAGGTCGGTACTACAGCGCACGTGCGCATCTTAGCGTGCACCGCAGAATTGTTTATTTGATCAGTTCACTCGGTTCTCGGACGGCCAATTTTGCTGGTGCCTCCTGGACGCAGATGGGAAGAGTTCGGATGATGCGGGCGGAGTCTCTACAAGACTCGTAGATTCCAGCGGCGCTCGTTTTTCCACACGGAGTCTTTTCCCAATCCTGTAAACAACATTGGTTTCACAACAACTTCCACTGTGTCGTACAACTTCCTTCCACAATTCTGTGTGCAACATTGGTGCGCTGTTGCGCACGGTTGCTGTGGTGCACACGCGTGCCGTGGTGCACACAGTCGCTATAGTGCACGCATCCACTGTGGTGTACGCAGGCGCTGTGGTCTACACAAAGCGCTGTGATGCACGAAGGCGCTGTGGCACACACTGGCGCTGTGTTGCACGCGGCTGCTGTGGTGTACAGAGGCGGTGTGGTGCACACGAGCGCTGTGGTGCACGCAAGCAAGTGTACACAGGAGCTGTGGTGCAAAGCCACCTACATGCTGCTGCTACCCGTCCTCGGTCATTCACGAGCACTCCCAAACGCCACCGGCGCGAAACGTGACGTCATCGGCCCCCCCTCCCCCCCCAGATGATTGCCATCATCGGGCCGGAATAAAATTATCCTGGCAAAAAAGACCCAACCATATGCAGTAGTGGGTACCACAATTGTGAATCTCTTCTTCGGCAAAGCTCTCTATAGGGCCACGAAGCGTTGCACTGGGTGCGGGGGAACGCTGTACTGGGTGGGTGGTGTGCCAAAGTGAGGTTCCAGGGCGCACGCGGACAGTCCCACTGGGGCCTTCGGTAGAGCTCCCTGTGGGGCCACGAAGCGCTGTACTTGGTGGGTGAAAATGCCACACTGGGCTTTCGGGGCGCATGCGGACGGTGGCACTGGGGCCTTCGGTGGAGCTCCCTGTGGGACCACGAAACGCTGTGCTGGGTGGGTGAACATGCCACATTGGGTGTTTTGGGGCCTTCGATGGAGCTCCATGTGGGGCCACGAAGCGCTGTGCTGGGTGTGTGAAAATGCCACATTGGGTTTTCGGGCCGCATGCGGACGGTGGCACTGGGGCCTTCAGTGGAGCTCCCTATGGGGCCACGAAGCGCTGCTGTGGGTGAGTGAAAATGCCAAATTGGGTGCTTCGGGACGTACGCGGAGGGTCCCACTGGGGGCTTCTGTGGAGCTCCCTGTGGGGCCACGAAACGCTGAACTGGGTGTGCGGGACGCATGCGGACGGTAGTGCTGGGACCTTCGGTGGGCTTCACTATGGGGCCACGAAGCGCTGTACTGGGTGTGCGGGACGCATGCGGACGGTAGCACTGGGACCTTTCGTGGGTTCCCTATGAGGCCACGAATTGCTGTACTGGGTAGGTGAACGCAGGGAGGAGGGGGAGGAGGGCCACGAAACGCCATACTGGATGTGCGAGACGCATGCGGGCGGTAGCACTGGAGCCTTCGGTGGGGTTCCCTATGGGGCCACGAAGCGCTGTACTGGGTGTGCGGGACGCATGCGGACGGTGGCACTGCCATTGCTCACCAGAGGTGCTTGGTCACTGTGTGATTGCGGCCGTCTTAACAGGATCACGAACTGTTTGCGTGAAATTTGCCAGGCGGGCGCGTCACCACTTCCAGAGCCGCTTGGCCCTCCAGCTGGTAACCCTGGCAAGCAAACAGTAAACCCCCCGGCGATATCGCTAGCACAGAAAATAAAATAAATAATTATTTTGGGCGGCGCCCTCTGGCGATACCGTTAGCACATAAAACACAAATAGAACAATTAATTAATTAATTTCCCCCCCCGGGCCCGAAGCTGGCGGCAACGCGAGGCGACAGTCTGAAGAACCAACGCGCACGAACGCTTGCCAATGCATTCCCGCCTTGATAGAACACCGGGAAACTGACGCGCATCGGAAATCAAAGGTAAATCAAAAATGACAAACAATGAAATCACCGCAAGCAACTATACTTGAAAGGACCCCCCAAAGGAATCCCAGAAGAATCTCAGAAGGAAGCCCACGCAGAATCTCAAAAGATCCCTATTGGAAATTCAAAGTAATCTCAAAGGAGCCCCACAGAAATCGCAAAGGGATCTCAGCGGCAGCTCAAACGAACCACGAAGGAATCTAAGGAATCTGGAAAACGCGGGCTCGCGTGGACATAAGCAAACCCTATTGCGGCCGCAATAGGGAAATTGTTTTTTTTTCACGGGGTCCTATGGGAGAGTCCACGGAGGGATATCGCAGACGGATTCCGCGAACCCCCCCCGCGATATGTTAGCACACTTATTGAAAATAAAATAATCCACAGGCACCGGAGGTCGATGTGATGCTCCCTTCAGGGATTGTCGAAGGAATATCAGAGGAACTTGAAAGAACCCCCAAAGGAATCCGATAAGAATACCACAAGGAATCGCACGCATGATATCGAAGGAACCAATGGAAGTTCAAAGCAATCTCAAAGGAGCCCAACAGACATGTCAAAGGCATCTCAGCGGCAACTCAAACGAACCACAAAGGAATCTAAGGAATCTGGAAAACGCGGGCTCGCGTGGACATAAGCAATCCCTATTGCGACCGCACTAGGGAAATTGATTCTTTCAGGGGATCCTATGGGAGAGTCCACGGAGAGATTTCGCAGACGCATTCCGCGAACCCCCCCGCGATATGTTAGCACATTTATTACAAATAAAATAATCCACCGGCCACGGATGTCGATGTGATGCTCTCTTGAGCAATGGGGCATCAAAGGGATATGACCGGAGCCTCAAGGGACCCCCAGAATAACATCAAAGGAACACCAGAGGAGTCTCAAAGGAGTTCCAAAATAATCACATATTGATTCTTTCAGGGGATCCTATGGGAGAGTCCACGGAGAGATTTCGCAGACGCATTCCGCGAACCCCCCCGCGATATGTTAGCACATTTATTAAAAATAAAATAATCCACCGGCCCCGGATGGGGCATCAAAGGGATATGACCGGAGCCTCAAGGGACCCTCAGAATAACATCAAAGGAACACCAGAGGAGTCTCAAAGGAGCCCCAAAATAATCACAATGGAAACGGCAAGGAATCTCAAAAGAAGCCAATCGGAGTATCAGAGGAATCTCTGAGGAATCTCACAGAAACGCACAGAATCACAGGAAGCGACTCTGGGCAGGTGTGCCTTGTCGCTGGGCTCTGGACTACAAGGGGACCGGGCATTCAGAGGCTTGTGGAGGCCTTTCTGGATGCCTCCTGGGAACCTCCGGGGACCTCCCCTCCGCGGACCTCTGGTGACCTGCGGGGGATATCGCTTCCGCCCCGGCCCCGGTGCCGGAAGCGTTATAATTTCCTCTGATGAAGGGGGGGGGGGGGGGGGAGGGGGGTTTACTGATTGCTTCCCAGGGTTACGTCAGACCAGATCCGCACATTGCATGAATCTGCGGACTGAGGCGGCTGTAGAGACACAACTCTGCTGAGAGCGTGGCGACAGACTCAGAAAGCAACCCAGAAGCAGCGGAAACAGGATTATTTCTAACAAGCTGGCACCTGAATATCTCAAGCTGTCGAATGGACAGGCACACTTGACACATGGACAGCACTTGTTGCCCCGAAAGAACAAGCACTGGAGACGGGCATCCCTCCCCCATCAGTCTCCCGGACCATCTGCCCCAACCCTTCGCCCTATCTGCCGATGCGATCGATGTGGGCTCCCTTGCCTGACGCAGAAGGCACCCACACGCTCGGGCGAATGAATTATTCAGACGACCCCGCGGAGGTCGGAAAGTGTGGGAGCTGGAGAGGGAGGGTCTCTCCCCCTCCACGCGCTGGGCCAAGCTGACGTGATCAAGATGCACGAAGGAGCTTTGTGGGCCCCGGAAACAGCAGGGCCGTTTTTTCACCGTTTCCCCAAAACATGCCCCTTGAAACTGGAAACGGCAAAAAAACGGCAGCCGGAAACGGCAAAAAAACGGCTCCAAGATTGGAACCGGAGACGGAACCGGTCAAACAACGGCGACGGAACCGGTAAAAAAGCGGCGTCCGAACCGGCAAAAAAACGGCAACACGGAACCGGCAAAAAAACGGCCCTGTCGTTTCCAGGGCCCACTAAGCGCAGGAGGGGAAATCCCTCCCTGGCAACTCGCGCACGAGCCTAAGGAGGACGGATGGGAGAGTCGAGGGCACCCGTTCTTTCGGCGGCGACAGGCCGAGTTCCGTCGGGAGCTGCCGCTGGTCTTCTCCTGAGGGGTCTGCTCGCCCCGGGGGGGGCGGGGGCCGCCAGGCGAGCATCGGCCCCGAAAAAGGCTGCCCGAGCCTCGAGGGATGCGGCTCGGCCGCCGGCCCTCCGCCCCATCCGCACCCTCCGAAGGAGCAGCGGCATACAATCGGGGCGTTGACCTCAGGAACCCTAAATAAGGAACGAGGCCGCTTTTCTCCAGAAGTTCAACTTCGATTTCCCATCGAAAACCCAAGGATAACCTGGGGCAAAATGGAAACAATGAAGGAACACGGAGCCCCTCCCCAACGAAAAGGGTTCCTGATTCAGAGCCCCGCCTGTAGGCACAACCTGTCGGAGGCCCGCGCGGACTTCTCGGCTGGGCGCTGATGCCCTCTTCCTCATCTCTCTCCCCCGCGCTCTTCTGCTCGCTGTCCTGCCGCCTCAAGCCTTTCCCCCTCGTCGCCCTCGTCCCTCTCCATTGCCGTTGTTCCCCTCCGCCTCGCCACCCTTCTCGTCCCCCCTTCCCTCTCCACTGCCTTGTCGCCCTCCTTGCATTAAATAGGGCATGCCCTCCTACAGGCAAATGTTTGAAGGACAAGTTCGAAGGAAACAAAAAGGACAAATCAAACATTGTACACAGAAAAACAACGTCACCAATCTGTGTTTGAACATTATTGACTGTCCTCCTGTAGAGGGACATGGCCGACTTGATCCTGGCACCCTGGATTGCACCCACTTCTTCCGTATCCGTTTCAGGCGCACAGATAGGAGGTGCTCTAGCGACCTCTTGGGCCTCGTGTGAGCATCGTTTAACCGATCCCCTTCCCCACTGGCGTGGCCTGGGCCCCACTGGCCGATCTACCCCCTAGATGGGGATATAGGCGGTGAACTTCAAGCTTCGAGGGGCATATCCCCAACCGGGGTGGTGGGGTGGTGGGGATTGGGAGGGGGATGGGAATGGCGATAGGGACCAGTCAAACGGTACCGATCGTGGGAGGAATCCTTGGGACACCCTGGGCCGAGGACACCCCGAGCGAGCTCCGGCGCCGTCACGGCGCGGAACCCTAGAAACCCTGGCATGCAACCCCCGGGACCGAGGTTGCATCCCGGGGCCTGATCTTGCCAGCGCTCGGACGTCCATGTCCCGTGCATGATTTCTCGATCCCTGGTGTGCTCATGCTTTTACGAAGAGGATCCAACATGCTCCCCAATGGCCCTCGCCGAAGAGAGAAACAAAAAGGCATGCGTCTGGGCGATGCCAAGTGAGAATCGCCCCCCAAGAGAGAGAAGATTTGCGAAACCCGCCGTGCTGACGTTCCCAAGACTGGGGCCGGGCGGCTTTCGGACTGCACTTCGGGCCGCAGGCGGCCGATCGGGACCCTCTGGGAGCCCCTGGACGCCTCTCGAGGGAGCGCAGCTGATGGAGAGCACCCTGGAGCCTGGAGACCTCTACGAACAGACATTAGCACGACCGAATCCCGCCTTCCCTCCCTGGGACCTAGGGCAGCTCGCGACCCCCCCCCTACCGCTCCTCCTGCTCCTGCTCCTGCTCCTGCTCCTCCTGCTCCTCCTCCTCCTCCTCTTCCTCCTCGCCCTTCCTCCTCCCCTTCCCCCTCCCCACTCCTGCTCCGGACTCAACCTCCCCCTCCGCCTCCCGAGGCCCCCAAGCAGCCCTCCCTCGAGGATGCGTCGCTGGGGCGCGCCCCAGGAGAGTTCGGCGGGTCGTCGTCGTCGTCGTCGTCGTCATCGTCGTCGTCGTGACCTCGGGCAACTCGCTGTCCCACTCCAGCGGGCTGCACCCCGGGGCGTCCTGTCGGGAGCGGCCAAGCCTCGGGGGGGGGTGTCCAAGAGGGGGGGGTGCAAATCATGACCGGCGGCATGTGCGCGGCCCAGCGGGGGGGCCAGGGACGCAATGAAACAAGCAGAGGCGCCATAGAATCTGGGGAAATCTCATGGCCACCGCCATGATATCCACCCCCCCCCTAGTCATCGCCCCCCTCTTTTCCGCCCCCGAAATCCAGCGGTGGCGACGAGGGCCTCCCAGGAGGCCGGAAAAAGGGGAAAACGGGTGAAGGGTAGCGGTATGGTTGAGTCGGGCCTGTCTCTCTACAGGTAGAATATAAAAAAACTGTCAAACAAATAGTCCGGGGATGAGATTTGTTTTATATCTGTTTGTTGTAGGGCCGACGCCGCCCCCCACCTCTTTGCCGCCCCCGATCCTGCCCCCACGCGCACGCCAGGTAGCCGGCGTCGCCGGGGTCCGCTCGGCGGCGCGCCCGCGGGGATGGAGCAGGGACCGGCCGTCCCGGCCTTCCTGTGGCCCTGCCACGACACGTTCCCAGAAGCAACAAGTGTTCGAAGTACAAAGGCAACATTCTTGGAACGGCACCAGTCTTAGCACAGAAGCCAGATGTGCTAAAACAAGACAGTCTCAGCCAGAGCTGCTCGCATGTCCTGGGAACAGCGCGTGCAGGCCAAGAGCGGCTCTCAGAACATCCTTTGGTGGGCCTAGAGGCAAGCCAGGACGCGTCGCCACCGCTCGAGGGGAGGGGGCCCGGGGCTCTGTCATGACGGCAGTCCGAGCGCGCGGCACATTCAGACCCAATCGACGTCGGATCCACGTCGGATGTCTCGCCATCGCTCGGACGTCCATGCCCCGTGCATTTGTTGGCCTCGGGCGCGCCTGTTCTTCGTAAGACGACACAGTGTATATATATATATATATATATATATGTATACCAATATATATATATATATATATATATATATATATATCCGCCGGCCCCCTTGTGGGGCCACCAGGCTGTAGGCGCGGGATTCACAGTTTCCTGTACCAGTTGTAGCTTGTAGTTTCCAGTGTTACAGTTCTGCTTCTTGCTGGTTACTGTAACTAGTTGATTGACTGCGCGAGGGGGGGGGAGGCCCAAACGGGATATTTAGCACCTCCTGGGCGCGTTGTCTGAATTGCTGGGGGGGCTCGAAATCGACACCCCTCACACAGATCCGGCGGGGTCAGGGTCCAAAAACACAGGGGATTTGCCACATTTCTGAAATTCGGTGCCACCCCTCACGCAGATCCGCGGGGTCAGGGTCCAAAAACACAGGGATTTGCCACATTTCTGAAATTCGGTGCCACCCCTCACGCAGATCCGCGGGGTCAGGGTCCAAAAACACAGGGATTTGCCACATTTCTGAAATTCGGTGCCACCCCTCACGCAGATCCGCGGGGTCAGGGTCCAAAAACACAGGGATTTGCCACATTTCTGAAATTCGGTGCCACCCCTCACGCAGATCCGCGGGGTCAGGGTCCAAAAACACAGTGGATTTGCCACATTTCTGAAATTCGGTGCCACCCCTCACGCAGATCCGCGGGGTCAGGGTCCAAAAACACAGGGATTTGCCACATTTCTGAAATTCGGTGCCACCCCTCACGCAGATCCGCGGGGTCAGGGTCCAAAAACACAGGGATTTGCCACATTTCTGAAATTCGGTGCCACCCCTCACGCAGATCCGCGGGGTCAGGGTCCAAAAACACAGGGATTTGCCACATTTCTGAAATTCGGTGCCACCCCTCACGCAGATCCGCGGGGTCAGGGTCCAAAAACACAAGGGATTTGCCACATTTCTGAAATTCGGCGCCACCCCTTACGCAGATCCGCGGGGTCAGGGTCCAAAAACACAGGGGATTTGGCACATTTCTGAAATTCGGTGCCACCCTTCACGCACATCCCTTGCAAGGCGTGGTAACCCAAACTGCGAGAACTCCCTCGGCCCTTTAATCGCAAGGTGTGGTAACCAAGCCCGTAAACCATACACGTCTTACCAATCGCCAGGTGTGGTAACCCCTCTTGTGATCAGTATTGCGAATCGGCTTCGCATGAAGTTTCGATACTGCTTCACGACAGCGCCAAGGCCTCATGACTTAGCTCTTCCATGACCCATTCTCCGAGAGAGGGGGCCGGCGGCAGGGGGCAAAGCCCTTACGGATATAATAATATATATATATATATATATATATATATATATATAAATATTCTCATACGCGAATCTCCGAGGGAGTAGAGCTCAGATGCGATTAGTGCGTACGAGGGGCGCCGCGTCCGCGATTTTATTAGCCGTTTCGCTGGGGACATCCTCGAAATTCTGAAAACCGGTGGCACCCCTCACGCAGATCGTGACGTCAGGGTCCAAAAACACATGGGAATTTCAACAGTTTAAGATAAAACCTTCAAAAACACATGGTAATTTCAAACATTTTGACCCCGATTCTCAGAGAATGGCGGTTTCGCCTGAAACATCCTCGCAAAATCGAGCCCCGACGTACCCTCTGGGACCCCAGACCCCGCCTCGGAGCCTCCTTGGGGGCCTCCTGAAACCTCCTGGGGCCTCCTGCGGCCTCCTGGAGCGTCTTGGGGCCTCCTGAAACCTCCTGGGGTTTCCTGGGGCCTCCTGAGGCCGCCTGGGGCCTCCTGGGGCCTCAGAACTACATGCACACACAGGGACACAACTCACGCCCAACACATCACACGCTAGACAAACATAACACTCACAACACCTACAACGCACGAGAAGCACGCACAACACAGAACACACATCACACACACACACACACACGCACAAGCACACGCACACGCACACGCACACGCACACGCACACGCACACGCACACGCACACGCACACGCACACGCACACGCACACACACACACACACACACACACACACACACACACACACACACACACACACACACACACACACACACACACACACACACACACACACACACACAACACACACACACACACAACAAAAAAAAAAAACTCACAATCCTGGGGCCTCCTGGGGCCTCTTCTGGTATCCAAATCGGGCCTCATGAGGCTTCCTGGGGGGCCCCGGTACGCACATCGCAAGGTGTGGCAACCCCACTTGCGCTCGAATGCGACTTCGCTGTTGCATTTCACTCCTGCTTCAAACGCCCCTTCAGTTTTTACCTAACAGCGAAGACTGATAGGCTTCTTGTAGGGTCAAAAGAGAGCATCATGACTCCCCAAGGGGGTCTGGGCAGATGCCGGACAGATGCTGGACGGGTGACGCGGGAATCCGGGGACTCCTTTTTTAGCCAACAGTAACGCACTTCGTGGTCTTCGAGTTCCCAGAACTCCATTCCTGGGCATGATTTTGAATGCCTGGAGCCAACTGTAGGCCACTTCGTGGTCTTCGAGTTCTCAGAACTCCATTCCTGGGCATGATTTTGAATGCCCGGAGCCAACTGTAGGCCACTTTGTGTTCTTCGAGTTCCCAGAACTCCATTCCTGGGCCATATTTTGAATGCTGAGGCAGGCTGAGGCTGAGGCTGAGGCACGCTGAGGCTGAGACAGGCTGAGGCTGAGGCCGAGGCTGAAGGCAGACTGAGGCTGAGGCTGAAGCAGGCTGAGGCTGAGGCTGAGGCAGGCTGAGGCTGAGGCTGAGGCAGGCTGATGCTGAGGCAGGCTGAGGCTGAGGCTGAGGCTGAGGCTGAGGCTGAGGCAGGCTGAGGCTGAGGCAGGCTGAGGCTGAGGCTGAGGCAGGCTGAGGCTGAGGCTGAGGCAGGCTGAGGCTGAGGCTGAGGCTGATGGCTGAGGCTGAGGCAGCTGAGGCTAAGGCCGAGGCTGAAGGCAGACTGAGGCTGAGGCTGAAGCATGCTGAGGCTGAGGCTGAGGCAGGTTGAGGCTGAGGCTGAGGCAGGCTGATGCTGAGGCAGGCTGAGGCTGAGGCTGATGCACTCTGAGGCTGAGGCAGCTGAGGCCGAGGCTGAAGGCAGATTGAGGCTGAGGCTGAAGCAGGCTGAGGCTGAGGCTGAGGCAGGCTGAGGCTGAGGCTGAGGCTGAGGCAGGCTGATGCTGACGCAGGCCGAGGCTGAGGCTGTGACTGCGACAGCCGTTGCCACTGCGACTAGCATCGCGAATGCGACTGCGACTGCGAGAAGAACAGCATTCTACAACTGGATTATCATCTGAATCTTAAGGGGAACGCTTCCAGATATGCCCCTACACATCGCTGTTAGGTTGCTTTGTCGGGATAATTTCTGTATGAACCTGGGCACACACGCGCCACCTGTATAAATCTATATTATATGTGAGCGGTCGGGCAGTCCCGCGACTGTGTTGTTTTTTGTTCCCAACCATCCTGTGGTATTGGGTCCTCGCTTTGAAGAGACAACGCCCCGCGTCCCACCTCCTCTCCTCCTCCTCCCCCTCCTCGCCCTCCTCCCTCCTCCCCCTCCTTGCTTCTGCTCTCGGCACACCCCTCACACGTTTCGTAGCCCCATAAGGAGCTCCACCGAAGGTCCCAGTGGCACAGCCCGCATGGGGTTCCTCCACCCAGGGCACCGCTTCGTAGCCCCATAGGGAGCTCCACCGAAGGTCACAGCGGCACAGCCCGCATGCGGTTCCCCCGCCCAGGGCAGCGCTTCGTAGCCCCATAGGGAGCTCCACCGAAGTTCCCAATGCCACAGCCCGCATGGGGTTTCCCCACCCAGGGCAGCGTTTCGTAGCCCCATAGGGAGCTCCACCGAAGGTCCCAGTGGCACAGCCCGCATGCGGTTCCCCCACCCAGGGCAGCGTTTCGTAGCCCCATAGGGAGCTCCACCGAAGGTCCAGTGGCACAGCCCGCATGCGGTTCCCCCACCCAGGGCAGCGTTTCGTGGCCCCATAGGGAGCTCCACCGAAGGTCCCAGTGGCACAGCCCGCATGCGGTTCCCCCACCCAGGGCAGCGCTTCGTGGCCCCATAGGGAGCCCCACCGAAGGTCCCAGTGGCACAGCCCGCATGCGGTTCCCCCACCCAGGGCAGCGCTTCGTAGCCCCATAGGGAGCTCCACCGAAGGTCCCAGTAGCACAGCCCGCCTGCGGTTCCCCCACCCAGGGCAACGTTTCGTGGCCCCATAGGGAGCTCCACCGAAGGTCCCAGTGGCACAGCCCGCATGCGGTTCCCCAACCCACGGCAGCGTTCCGTGGCCCCACAGGGAGCTCCACCTGAGGCCCCAGTCGCGCAGTTCGCATGCGTCCCCCCTCCCCCCCCCACCCGGGGCAGCGCTTCGTGGCCCCATAGGTAGCTCCCCCGAAGGTCCCAGTGGCGCAGTTCGCATGCGTCCAGTACTGCGTTTCGTGGCCTACCCACAACTGCATATGGTCGGGTCTTTCGCCAAGCTATTTTTTCCAGAGGGACCCTCCCTTCCTCCTCCACCCCTCCCTCCCCGTCCGCCTTCATCCCCCGTTCCTCATCCT